AGAGAGAGAGAGAGAAGGGAAAGATATCGATTCTCGATTTATAAGGAAAGGATTGATCGACACTTATTGCGATTGTAATTGCAATTGTAATCGTAATTGAAAAGTAATTCAGAAGGTCTGCACTTACCGTGCACCGCATACCGCCGACCCTTAAATTACTCGCGCCGCTTGCCCAAGCCCAGGATAATGCTATCCCCTATCCGACCTGCCGTCGCGTTATCGGTGTCCGTTCGCGAAACAGGATCGGCGAGGAGGCGGTGTTTCGGTTCCACCTGCTCGATCGATTAAAAGATGAGATTCGGTCCGATCGCCGTTCTCGCCGCCGCGAATGATCCAGATGTATTGCGGCTATCCGCGCCACGCTTCTTCTCTTTTATACAAGATAAAAAGAGCATAGATCGCGGTGGATAGTCGCGATCGCCTCCCACCGTGGAAAGCTGTACCCGTACATCGGCGATCGGCCGCCGAATGGAAATGGAAAAACGGGCGCGAGGAGGGCGGGTACCCCGCGCGACCGGGGGTGAACCGTCAGATTTTTGTTTAGGGAGAAATCGACACTTTCCTCGCGTCGAGCGAGAATGGACAACGTCGACGGCTCCGGCACGACTCCGACTCGGCGGACTCGCCTGTATCCATCGTGCGAGATGCAGCGACGAGACCTCTCCCGGCTTTTTCCCCGCAGGGACACAGCCGGGATGATGAGCCGAAATCTGAGTCCGAGTCTGTGGGACAGGTATGCCTCGCACTATCGCTATGTGTGTTCTACGAAAAATGAAAACAGGACGGCTAACGGCGTTACGGAGTAATTGCGGAGAAGAACCTCATCGAACGAAAGTTAGTTTGATGGCGATTAATAAACGACGACAAAAATAGCGATAGAAAATAACAAATTTAATAGATAACAATTTAGTAGATAAAAGCCAATAGGTTTTATGATTTACAGCTATGCTACTTGTGGTAACAACCGTTTTTTTAATTTTTGACTTAGTTTTTGCATTGCTTCTTTTAATTATTTAATTTGTACACGATATGTTGCGTGACATGTTTAGTAATATTTTTTATTACGAAATTGTGAGCAATTATAAATCTTTCACAGTTGAAGAAGTGTGTGTCTTTAAGATAATGAATTAAAGATAATTATTGTTTAAATATTTATTTAAAAAAAAAAGATAAAGAAGAATTTACAAAATTAAATATTATAAAATAAAAATCAAAAGAGTAATAGAATGTAAAATATATGTGAGATAAAAAAAAATATATTAATATTTTAATAAATACAAATACGCTAAGAGCTATATTTAAAAATATAATATATTGATATATTATCTACTAAAAGTTTAAGAAACGCAGAAAAATAATAAAACATTTTTATAAAACTGTTAAATATTGAATGAAATTAAATCTTTAATGTTAATTATCATTCTGCAAGTAACGCGCAAAGATGTTAATGCATCTGTAAGGCCGCGCCCAATGTTTGCTTTCCAAAATACGAATAATAAATAACAAGAGAATGTAACTACTCCGGCAATGCGATCCCACCGAAAGTGTTCTACATTTACTAAGACGCGTTGTACTTTCGACGCGCGCGATCGATCTTCTTGAATTTACAATTTGAGGCATGTTATTTAATGTAAAGAAAATTTTTTATTCATTGCGAAGATAACAGATTTATTTTCAAAGAAAACAAACTCTGTGGTAATGTTTGTAATATTATTTGTTTCTAATATTGTTTGTGATATTATTTTCAATAAATTGTTTATGCAATATGGAATATAATATTACGCGAAAGCGTTGCAAATATTATGCAAGTAAATAAATCGTAGCAAAGCATGAAAATCTGCATAATACATTGTATACATTTAATAACGCATTTATTAAAATCACTTTATTTATGTCATTTATGATGTGAAAGAATGTATCATTAGCTGCATTTGACATGATTAAAAATTACTTTTTCTTTTTAATTATCTCTAGTTATGTTTACATTCTTATCCTCATTAAATGAAAAAATAATTATGGCTCGCAATTAAGTCGAAAGTTGTCGGGGCAGTCGGAAATTAGCATTAATACTCGATTTCCGTCGATACTCGTCTGCAAAAGTATCTTCTAACTCAGAAAAGATGACACCTACGTATAACATGATTTCGATAATGTTGAGTTTATAATCCATACGTGTCGGTTATGTTTCTATGTTTTATGTGATTAAAAGTAAAAAATTTCACTGACAAGAATAATATATCTTTCATATCGCTGCCGTTACGGTCCACATATACGAATTCCTTTCTTAACGCGCCGGGACGCCGACAATGACGTCGTTACAAGCGCGCGTTAATTAGCTCATTCACGCGATATACTTTCTTGCACCGAATTCAAGGTTGAATTTCTATCCTTATGCCTTTTTCAACAGGAACTGGATAGTATCTCAACTAGTACCTCCTTTCTTGGCTAAAGTTGACATGGATCAATTCTTTCAATGAATAAAACTATTGATACTTATTTCAAGATGTGTTATATGCATTAAAAATGAGAGTCAAACTCATTCGGACTTTGTTTATAATAAATTTTCTTCTAAAGTTGGGAAAGAAATAGAAAAAAGAAACGAAAAATTTAGAGTTACAAAGAGAAAAACAAATATCTTAGAAAAAAAATATCTTTTTATTACTCTACTATTAAGAAAGGGGCTTTTATTTGAAATATTATTATTATTTATAACCCAAACTATGATAATTTTACAATAATTGAAAAAACTGAAAAAAAAATACCTGTTGTTAACAGTCTTGTTTTATATAATAAAACTACAATGAAAAATGTAGATTAAGATTAAATTCAAGATTTTATGATTGCAACTTTTCACACACAATAAGTCAGTGCACTCAAGACGAGTCTGAAGATTAACAATCGTATGCAATTTGCCATCTTTTAGTCGCGTTTAGTCACGCTTTCAACTAAACGATTTGTCTTGGATATGTATCTTTCATTTTTAGAAAACATTATAGGTTTTTTTAAATAATGCATGAAATATTTTAAATAATGCATGAAATAATATGATATAATTTAAATATATCATGCAATATAGAATATGTAAAAATTTATTTTAAAATTTCTTTCATCTAGACATCTTCCTCTCTCTCTCTCTCTCTCTCTATACTATT